TCTATGCCAAGAGAAAGGAGAGAGAGGAAGAAGAGACGGGAGGAGGGTGCAGGGAGGAGAAAGTAGGGGAGAGGAGGGGAGGGACGCCCAGAAAGAAGCAAAAGTATGAGATACTGGGGGATTCCCCAGCGGGGCCTTGTTCTAGACCTCCCTTACCCAGTTGTAGGCAAGATGAAGCCTCCAGACAGATTTCTGAACCAAAGGGTAAAGAAGAGCCCATTCCATCTTTCCTTGGTAGAATGGGGAACAAGCATCATGTTAGAGGAGATCCAATGAGGAAACAGAAAACATTAAATATTGAAAACTAAGAAATGTTCGTTGTAATTGGGAATTGATTACATAAGTGATGGAGAAACTGAGACTCCAACTGAGCTGGTAAACAATCTAGAGATAAGCAGTAGCAGGAAGCCCCTGCTACCTCTATGGTGGAAGGACAAAGGAAAAAGGCGGTGTTTTTGGATCCCAGGGACCAAAGTCACACAGCAGACCTGTCAAGAGACAGTGAACTACTGAGGAAATGCAGCTGCTAAGGATGATACAAGAAAAGTCGGGGGAAACACTGGCCTCTCCCTTCTGACCTTCCAAATGCCTCATAAGCTCCAAACCCAACCAGAAACTGTCTGACATAGGAAGTTAAACCAGCATGTGTCAGCTGCTTTGTAGTGGAGCAGGGAAAGGTGAGCATGAGGCTGAAAACAAACAGACCTGTAAGAAAATATGTGAGTTGAGTATCTAGGGCTATGCTATGGTCCTAAAACAACCTCACAGAGTCTTCATGTCCCAGAAAAGCCCACATACAACAAGTGAAACTGAAGACTTGAAGAACCCTTGGAATTAGAATAAGAAAAGCACATCTGGGATCTGCCTCAACAGAAAACTAAAAATGCATAGGCCCTGAGACGTCTCAGTAGATTCCAGCTTGGACAGAAGACAACTCTGAGACAACTAGGCACTCCCCTCTCTACTGTCATCATATAAAACAGAAGCCAGTACATTCCTTATCTAATTCCCATTGTTGTAAAGTGCCTTCGAGTCAGTTCCGACCCATAGAAACCCTGTATAGGGTTTCCGAGGAGTTGCTGGTGAGCTTGAACCACCGACCTTGCAGTTCAAATGGCTTTGCAGTCTGGCTCATTAACTCACAGCGCCACACCAGGACACCTTTCTAACTCCCATAGCTAAGTCTATATGTTACAGAATAGAACGACTTCCTAGCAGTTTTAGGGCTGTAATTTTTTTTTTTTTAATGTTTTATTGTGAATTATATGGTAGTTTACATGAGAGAACTTTAGTTTTACA